AATACATACATATATATAAAATTTTATTTGGAAATAAATTATATCAAAAAGAGTACTCTTATGTAGTCTTACTTAATACTTATACTTGACATTATGGAGGAAGATCACGTGACCCCCGGCTTGAATCACGTGACTCAGCCTTAGCTTTCGATGACACCTTGCCGCCAGGCGCCGCCAAATAACGGAATTATCTATCTATCTCATAGAAACTGTAATTCGTATTGTAATATCTGTATATTTGTGAATACTGAAGATGTAGAAGAACTTCAAAAAGAATTCGAAAATTTAAACGTCAAACAATATTTCAAGGGGGATGCTGCATAAAATTAGATAGATCTTAAAAACTGAGCTTAAATATTCCTGGTTTTTTCTAGTTTCCTTGGTTTTCTTGTTTTCATAGTTTTCATGATTTTCATAGTTTTCATGGTTTTCATGGTTTCCTTGGTTTCCCTGGTTTCCCTGGTTTCCCTGATTACTCTGGTTTCCCTGGTTTCCCTAGTTCCCTGGTTTCCCTTGTTTCCCTGGTTTCCCTGGTTTCCCTTGTTTCCCTGGTTTCCCTGGTTTCCCTGGTTTCCCTTGTTTCCCTGGTTTCCCTGGTTTCCCTGGTTTCCCTGGTTTACTGGTTTTCATTGTTTTCATGGTTTCCCTGGTTTTAATAGTTTCCCCTGGTTTCCCTAGTTCCCGGATTTACTGGTTTTCATTGTTTTTATGGTTTCCTTGGTTTCCCTGGTTTTCATGATTATATTATAAAGAGTGTGCAAATTTTATAAATTTGTTGAAAAAATGATTTTAAAGAAAAAATAGAACAAGAAGGCCAAACTGTAAAAAATCCGAGAAAAAAAGTAAATTTAAAAAATCAAGGAAAATAAACTGAAATAGGTTTCGTATTTCTAACTGCGCGCTATAATATTACAAATTTTCAAGGTTAACTGGAACATTTCTTTTGAATAAATGAACATTATGTTACTTTGATTAGATTTTGGAATAAAAACGGAAATTACTTTTTCATTTATGCATCAGTCACAATTTTTTGGCCATTTGAAATTAAATGATTCAAGAAAATTTTGTTCTTTGTTTTTTTATGATTTGGTGTTTTAAAATGTGAGATATATTTGTTACTGATCCCAGGTCATGTATATAAAACCCCAATCAAAAGGTTATATTTCTATCTATCTCTTTTTCTAGCTATCTAGCTATATAGTTGTACCAAGCTACGAATATCAACCACATATCTACATAATTTTTATTTGTCAGTGTTAAAGTAAGAAAAATACTATCTTTATACTTTTATAAATATGTTATGAAAAGAGAATAAAATATTTAAATATTCAAACTCATTACAAGTTTTTTTATAGCGCTTCATTTACGTATGTCTTTAAAACTAATTAAAAACTACAGATGTATTAATATTTAACAACAAATGTGTTATGGAAAATATGTAACTTTTTTCTATCTCACAAACAAAAGAATTAATGTTAAAATAACTTCTCAATATCCATGTAATATGTATGCATTTTTTCAAAATATGGTGATAGCAAAAAATAATAGTTTAATAAAGAAAGAGTATCCGACTTAATATGGACAAAAACGTTTTGTTTGATGAATCTTTAGCTAAAAACCATGATTTAGAAAATTCAAATTTTAGTTAAGAAAGAAACTGTGTTTTTGCCACAAACTCAAATTTTTTAATCCCTTTTTCTTTGCAACCCAATGTATGACCTTTGATATTTAAAAGTACGAATTCTTGAAATGTCAAAGAGATGAAAACATTTTTGTGAAAATTTAAAAAAGTTACACAATCATTGTTTCATTTTTATTAAAAAGAAAGGTTTGAAGGAACACCTTAATCCAAATAAATATTAAATAAAAGACTTTTCTATTTCTTAAGAATAGACTCTGTCGTATATTAAAGATAAGATTTTAGAAGGTTTTCTGAATAAATATATTTAACTTTTTATTCTAGTTCTTAAACATTTATTGCTCTTAGAAACTTATTTATTACTCTGAATAAATAAAGTTGTTCAGAGAACACAGACAGGTAGGAAACGGTTTTTTTGCAAGAAGGTAGCGAGGGGGGGCAAAGCATTTAATTAAGAAGGGGCACTGCATATAGTTAGGAAAAGGGACATTACCAAGGGCCTATACAGGGATTTGTCCATAGGGGGGGAGGGGCTTATATTTTTTTCTTTCCAGGGGGTGGTGCTTAGAACCCATTGAGGCCTGAAACCCCAGGGGAAAGAAAAGCCCCAATAGCCCCCCCCCCATGTATACTCCTCAGGGCACTACAAATAAATAGAGGGGGTGGGGGACGGGGTGCACTTTTTTCAAATCTCCTTTTTCATAGAAATGAATATGATATGATTTCGTTCATAAACAAACTGTAAACAAACTGTAAACAAACTGTAAACAAACTATAAACAAACTGTCAACAAACTGTAAACAAACTATAAACAAACTGTAAACAAACTATAAACAAACTATAAACAAACTGTCAACAAACTGTCAACAAACTGTAAACAAACTATAAACAAACTGTAAACTAACTGTAAACAAACTATAAACAAACTGTAAACAAACTGTAAACAAACTTTAAACAAACTATAAACAAACTGTCAACAAACAGTAAACAAACTATAAACAAACTGTAAACAAACTATAAACAAACTGTAAACAAACTATAAACAAACTGTAAACAAACTGTAAACAAATTGTAAACAAACTGTAAACAAACTGTAAAGAAACTATTAACAAACTGTAAACAAACTGTAAACAAACTGTAAACAAATTGTAAATAAATTGTAAATAAAATGTAAACAATCTGTAAACAAATCTGAAAAATTGTTAATATCCATCCCTAGTAGTATCCTATGTATCCAAGGTATCCTGAAATCCTCAAAACCAGGGTTATGGTGGATATGGTGGATACTGGATATGGTGCAGAAAATTTAATTTATTATACTGTCTTCACAACATTCCATCTGTCTTATTAAAATATTCAATTATACTGGATAGGGATAGATAGATAGATAGATAGATAGAAAGATAGATATACTTGATTGAATTTAATTACCAATCTTTTCTGATAATCACTCATCTCAAACTCTAATATTTTAATCTTCACACCTTTCAACCATAAGGTTGTGTTGAACAGCAAAAGCTTGCAAAGATACAGGGAAAAGAAACTCAGAATTCCTATGATCCAAATAATATTGTTTAACTAATATCTATATATCTAGGGGTATATGAGAGTAGTCTAGTAGGACGGAATGTGTAGAGGAGGAAGTATGACGACTATAAACTCCATGTTTAACTAATATCTATATATCTAGGGGTATATGAGAGTAGTCTAGTAGGACGGAATGTGTAGAGGAGGAAGTATGACGACTATGTACCCCTTCATGGATACAAGCCATATGGCAACCCTCAAGGAACACAAATTTATTACAGCAGTCTTCAAAATCGAAAATTTAAGCGTTTCTTTAGAAAAGAATCATAATTCAGGGTGGATATTTATTGAAATGAGAACCAATGTAAAAGTGTCACGGCAATAAACTTTAAAAATTAAACACAGAAATAAGTTTGAAGTCATATACAAATCCTTCTGTTTTTTGATAAAATAAATTGTGGTTTGAAGCTGGGCGGAGATCCGTCCTATTCTCAGCAAACCTATCTTCCATATCCACAACCTCATCATCATCCATACTCTAGGCAAACATTGTTCATCACTTCTAACAAATTGTTAAAAATATATAAAACTATGCTAACTGACTGTCAAAGAATTCTAAGAGCATATTCTTTAAAAATCAGTGATAACCAGAAAACTATGGAAGAGTAAGTCGACTTTGAGATCCAAGTTATGACTTTAAATAGTCCAATGAACATGAGGCACAGCAAATGTGCAATGTAAACAAACCCATTTCACTTAATAAGAGATTTAATAACTTACTAGTAAAGCTTTTTGCTTTGTAACAAGAACAAAATCAGATGCACTTCAGTATTGTTTTATTGTCGTTTTTCTATTCTACAGTTTTTTGGTTATCACTGCCCCTAATTTTTTTACAAACATGAACGATTTTGAACTGTAGGGATATCTTACACACACCCCACCCCATGTTCCCAGGTGACCCGCTGGCCCTTCATGAACCAGCGATGAGCTGGTCAACCGCTCAACCTGTTGGACCTAACCCAATGTATCCGTCCTATATGAACCAAATGACCTCACATCATGGTGCTTTCTTTAGGAAAAGTTTTTAAAACTTAAGAGATTGTTTCTGAAAATATAAATAAAAATAAAAAAGTGAAAACAACATAACTATAATGGTACAATTATAGTCTTATAAACAAGAAAACTTTAATTAATTTGTAATTTGCATAACATCTGAATTTCCAGGAATTAGATTTATTTAATAGACATATTTAAACTATGTTGACTAGGTTGAACCACTTCACCTTATCTTGACCCTGTGCATAATACAAGTGGTTTAACTACGTCTGGGAGGTTCAACTGATACACGCTTATATTCATTAAATCTGTTCTCAGGGCATGTTTTTAGAGATTTATATAAGTCACACAAAGTAAAATCATTAGCAAAATTTCGTAATGTATAGAAATAATAATGACGATAAATAAGGTCACCCTGCAATATTTTTAAAACTTGTATTCCCAGATATATGAGACAACCTGTAAAGCAGGAGGTGACCTGCCAGTGGCTTGAGCCCGACCAGCTCGGGAAGTCCTGCACCAAGACCTTCAGCTCCCTGCACGAGATAGTGACGCACTTGACCGTGGACCATGTGGGCGGGCCGGAGATATCCAACCACGCCTGTTTCTGGGAATCCTGTCCCAGGGCGGGCAGGCCCTTTAAAGCCAAGTATAAACTAGTGAATCATATCAGAGTGCATACCGGAGAAAAACCATTTCCCTGTCCGTTCCCCGGATGCGGAAAAGTATTTGCAAGATCGGAGAATTTAAAGATACACAAGAGAACACATACAGGTAGGAAACGGTTTTTTTGCAAGAAGGTAGCGAGATAAGTTTGTATCATTTTATGCGTCTTGTTTTCTCGAGTCGAGATGCATTCCAGGCTCCTTATATAGAGCAGTATGATAGCTAGGGGCGTACCAGAAACAATAAAGTTTTTCATTATGAAAGTCAACATTTCTTATTTCTAGATATAAATTTGTTTTAAAGTTTGAATGGAGTTGGGGGG